TCTCAGGACAAAGACCAGCAGCCTTCAATCTTGTGTCCTTCAAAATTAATTTGAAGCTACGCTGTGCTTTCTTCAACTTGAATAACTCGGTAATTCTTTCCTTCAATGTTGCACCGAGTTTCGAACCTTTGCTTTTGGCTGCAAATAATAAAAGCGCTGACCTGTTAGTAACAAAATAAGCACAAGTCAGGACAATTCGGAAAAAGAAGTAAAAAAAAACTTACAAAATGCAGAATTAATATTGATGGGAACTGTCATCCCATCGATTAAAGGTTTCGAAAAATTTGGAGTTTGCCAGTCTCCTCCAACCCATAACCACTCCTCTTGAAACCCATGAAGAGACTCAGGGATCTCAGTAATCAGTTCACCGATCTTTAATCCTCCTTGGGGCCTTCCCGCGCAAGCATAACAGATCAAAGGATCAGATACTTATCTGTCGGCGCAACGTCTAAACGTAAAGAGACTCCTTATCTCTTCAATGGTTGGCATATCCCAGTTCCTTTCTTGCAATAGCACCAAAAGACCGATGATCCTCTTCCAGGTATTCGGTGCTATTTGACATAAACCGAATCCCCAATTTCTCAGGTAATCGGTAATTATCGCCGGGAGTGGGAATCGAAGTCCCGATCTCAATGAATCCGCAAATACACCCACACAACCCGGAGGAGGACACGTTATCCTTTCGCCTGGATAAGGAGCGAATAATCTTACTGAGGAGGGAATATAAACTTCTCCTCGGAGATTGACAATGTCTGCATCAGTAAGGATACTCGGTTCGCCCCTATATTCATCAATTGGTTCGGGCCATCGACGTGCGGGACGTCTCCAATAGTCGGGAAGTGACATAGCATTCTCTTCGACTCGTTTATCCTCCTCAACAATATCTCTATTGAGATTTAACCGTTTCACTAGAAGAGGATCCCACCGGTAAAACTCCAGAGGCAATTCCAAATCCTCATCGGTGAAAATTGTAATCTCTGAAACTGTACGGCTACTTCTATCTTCAGCTTGGGCAGACATCTTTTCTGAATTTAATGAAAATAAAGCAAGTTTGAAGTTGACGAACAAGAACAAGTAAAAGATTAGGGCAACTTCTTACCGAAATTCTCAAAAGGCCCAAATGAAAGGACACGCAGGCAAAGAGCACAAGAAAGAAATTGGAAGAAAAAGTCAGGGAAGATGGAGCACAGGAAAAAGCAGAGAAGATTTAAGGTACAGAAACTCTTCACATATCAAAACCGACTATAATTTATAGGTTTTCATTTATAACCGTTGGAGAAATCTGGAAACGACCCGTGTAACGGACGTGTCTCGGAACGGTGTAACGTTAAAGTAATTATTAATACACGTGGACACGTCCAGAAACGCCATGTCGTTATAAATTTATATCCGTTGGACCCATTAAATGCGGACAAATCTTTTAAGAACCGCCATGTCAGATCAAGTTATATACAAGAAATTGCAAATGGAACAAAGTACTCTCATGTCGGTCATCAAAGAAAACCAAGTCGGAATAAAGCGGAACAACAAACGACATCAGCAGCTATTCAAAAAAGCTCAAAATACCTACTAATGTCGGGGGCCCCACTGTTGATATCCGACTTGATTACCTAATTGAAGACAGAGATTAATTAATTCATTAAAGAAATAATCCTCCAGAAAAAGACGAACTTAGGATAAGTCGGTATTCATTGAATTAAATTACCGACTTCTGAGAAATCACCGACTTCTGAAATAGTCGAAGGAACCGACTATTGAAACAGATGCAAGTAGACCGACTTCAGTTCAACAAATATTATGACGAGACGAATCAAGTTTCCTCTATTCAAACCGACTACCACAAAGTTCAAATATCCAAGCAAAAAACAAAGCTGGAAGCATCTGATTGGACCAGCAAAACGAAAAAGTAATCATTGATGTTTCCCACCGCTTAAAGTAAAGCAGCTCAACATTAAATACGTCCTTATCCATTTCGAGCAAGAAGACAAAAATTACCGTACTATAAATAGCAGAATTTATGATAGTACGAGGATCTTTTTCAACACATTGTACATGGACTTAAGATGATCTCGGTCAAGAATAAAAAATCGACTCCTGTACTCTTGTGAATATATCAAATAAAATCAAATTTTACTTTAATCTCTGTTTAAACACACTCAGCTGTTTGTAATTTTTCGTTGTTAATTTCATACAACAACATGTTGCTCGATCTTCCAATTGTCTAAGGGCTGTAAAATGACTGAGGAAGAGGTCTTATAAAGGGTTGAGGGCGGAGCTAACTAGGTGGGCTGGTGGGAGACCAACCAAGTGGGAAAGTCCACTCATGCGCATGGAATTTTGGGCTGAGATCTTGGGGCATGCATTGACCTAATTATGCTCGGTTTAAGTAGACAAATTGGGTGGAGAATCTCAGCATTATGAGGTAGGAGCAGGTCTGGCACGAGGGTGGGGGACAAAGGACTTCCCAAGACATTAAAATATTCACTAGTCCACATGCACTCACATTAAAAAAATGCCCACTACTTGGGACTTTGCTAATCCTTTGCTTAGGGCCATATTAGCTTAAACTATTCCTTATTAAGTGTATAATACACGCATGTCTTGGGTCATGGAGGAATTGGGCCGGAAATTCCAGAAATGGGCTGAAGAAGATACTGGGCCTGGCACGAGGGCGTGCTGGGCTGGCGCCGGAGCGTGGGCTGCGCGCGGGAATGGAGTCTTGGGCCTAGCTCCTCACTTGTTGAGGCTTCCAAGGTGATTTCCATACTTAGTAAAATTTAGGAATAATGTGCTAAGGCTTGGCAAGGCCTTGGGCTAGGCTAGGCTTGGTTGGGCGCGACTAAGGGCGCGGGGCTCGGGACTTGGCTCGAGCGGTTCGAGTATGGACTATGGCTCGATTTTAAAATGTCCAAGACTTACTTCTTGATATTCCAAGACTTAGAAAATTATTCTAAGTATAAAATATCAATACTTGGCAAGGCTCGAGAATTAACTTGAAAAATAATCGGAACCAAACAAGGGTTCGAAGCCGATAATTTCTCGAATCAATTTGCTATAATTTTAACAATCCAAATTAATGGATTGATCTTGACTTATACTTAATATAGAAAATCCCAAAGAATGATCTATCAAACTTAGAAATTAATTGAGCATTTAGCATATATAATATAACTCGAAAATTCTAAAAATTACAGATTTCACTTATAGTCGAGCAGTGAAACTGTTCTTAATATTATTACTGATTTTGGGCGTTACAACTGCTTTTTATATTGATTAATGTTTACTGCATAGTGGTGAGCACTACGATTTCCAACTGTGCTCATCCCCACCTGAAATTAACGTTTCAGGTTAAGCAAGGCGGGTACGACGACGGAGTTAAACGAGTGGTAGTAGGTCTATGAGACAGATTATTTATGGGTTATGCTTCCGCTATATTTATGACCATTTATGATTGATGAATCCCATTTTGGAGTTAGATGATTTATGTTATGAAATGGATTTTATGTCATGGAAATAATTTGAAATAATTGAGTAACGCTACAAATGTTTGAAACAAATTTTGAAAAATTTAAACTAATATTTCTGAAAGTTCGGAATTTCTTTAAAATCAAAGTGGGGGTGTTACAGATGACATACCCGTTTTTCAGCCCATTTGGGTTTGGGCACCTGGCTCCGTATGTGGGCTTGGGCTTCTTATGAAGGACTCACAAGTGAGAGGGCGTGTTAGAATATTCACTTGTGAGTTGTCCCACATCGTTTATATAGGGAGATATGCGTAATTTATATGTCTAATGAGCTACTCATTCTTCCACCAATTGATTTTGGGATGGAACCCCACTTAGGCTTAATCTGGGCTTTCTCCGTTATGGTGCGCTTCACGTGCGTGGGACCGCACCCGTTTTTCCCTCGTTTCTTACAAAAATTATGCCACTGGAAAAGGGAAGATAATATGAATAATAATTAAAAACTATGCGAACATATATCAATATTATATTATAACTTTTTTATTCATTCAATAATAATGACGAAGAATGGTCTTTTTCAACAATATAAGAAGACAAAATTGTAAACAATTACGTGGAATTATTCTTGTGAAAAATTTCAATATAATTTTACCATACAAATTTCTCAATTATCTCCAAAAAATGATTTTAAATAAGCAAGACTAACTTAGACAATAAAAAATTTTCAACCAAAATTTCATGCAATCTTTTTCACCATTACTTTTAAATATTATTATTTGTGAAAATTGTATTTCAACTTTCAATATATTTGACACAATTCATTATGTAATGTACTTCTTTTGTTTGATTAACGAAAAATATTAATACAAAAAATTGAATAGACCATAAAAATATATAAAAAAAAATATAATTCAATATCATATTAAAATACGATAAAAATGTATAATAAAAATGTATCCATTGATTTTTTCTTGAATGACTCGTATTTTTATATAAATAAAAAATTTTAGTACAAAGATAAAATAGCCAATGACTGATTAAAACTTTGCTCCAAAGAAGAGAGAACAAAAGCCGTGTGTTATTTTACGTATGATAGGGTCAACCAACTTCTCGGTTGGTCCAAGTTGTACAACACAACGGTCAGAATAGGCTGGAGTTCTTTTCAAAATTCGAAAAATCAAAATTTGACGGATGCATGTGGATGTGTTGCCAAAAGTGGGTCGATAATTTTGGAATCACAGCTAAAACAGTACCCCAGCCTGGATTGCATAACGTGCATCAATTATTGTCCCTACACGTGTCCATCATCGACGTCCCCCAACATCTCTCTCTTACTCATTTGTCCCTGTGGGAATCAAAACTTTGACAGCGAGATTTTGTCCTTTTTCTCTTTCCCTTGATATAAATCCAACATAAGCCCCCCATTATACATAGCATATATTTTCAGAATTTCACAATATCTGTTTGATTTAGGGCTTTTATAGAGAAAAAGAAAGAAAAGCAAAATAGTAATAAAATAAAAAAAACAGAAGAGAAATGGAGATGCAGAGACTGTATTATTGTGTGATGGTAATGTTTGGTCTTGTTTTGGGTTTTATTATTCCTTCAATCAACGCTCAGATGACTGGTCCTGGGCCCGCACCTTCCCCGTCCAGCGATGGTAAGTAACTTCTGATTTTGTTTCTTAATCATTTTTAGTTTTGTTTCAGTTTCTCGAGTCGAGTGGTGTATGATAATTTGGTACTTGATATTGACATTGCAGGGGTAGCAATAGATCAAGGAATAGCATATGTGTTGATGCTGCTTGCTTTGGCTCTCACCTACATAATTCATTGATTATCAAATCTGTAGAGTTTTTTTATTTATTTTTTATTACATCCATTTATTAGATTTGATTCAAAGCCTTTTTTTTTTTTTTTTTTGTCGTTTTCTTTTATGTTATGATGTCTATCCATTCTTTCCGATTCTTTCTATTGATTATCCGTTTTTCTGTATAGACGATTTTTACATTATTTTGTTTTAATGCAAGTGTTGGATGGGGTGTGTAATATGGATCGAAATGATTTTCTTTTATAAGTCATAAAATTGGAAGAAGATGCAAATTCATCTTTTTGCTGAAAATGGTAGTGAATTTATATTAGAACATCACTAATCCTCAAATGGGGAGGTGAATTACATTCTACATCAATACATGAGATGAATTACATTCTACATCAATACATTTAGTAGAATCATAATTTTACATCCTCCAATGTAGAAGTGATCACAAATATTGTGACGGGCGAACATAATTAATGACCAAGAAGAATATGGTTTTCCTCTACACTCTAACCATTACAAATGAAAAGAAAAGGAGAGATTTATTCTTACTCACCAAATTATTTAATTAATTTTTTTTAATTTTCATAGTTTAAATTATAGTAAGCACAATAATTTTTTGTTCCCAATTTAATTAATTTATTGACATTTGTCAGAATTTATTTTATTACTACAATGGCATATGTTTTATTTTTCCTCATATCCTTAATTTTCTCAAGATATATATTTCAAACAAGTGTATTCTAAATGATCATAAATGATTTTTTTTCTCTCATATCCTTTATTTTCAGAAATTATATATCTTCCAAGAAGTATATCCTAAACGGTCATAAATTGGTCTCTGACTAAGGAAGACTAACAGTTGGAGAATTTTATAGGGAAATTTTTGTCCATACTATACGAAATTAAAGAAATTTCGAATTTACCATTCAATAACAAATATTTATGTATATACCTATTAGACCAAAAATAATTACGTCAATGCCTAAAAATCAGTTACCTATTGTAAACATCATCCATTTTATATCTTGGGCGTGATTTTCGTGATGTTAACAGAAAAATAGAGATAGATAAAAACATGTATAGTAATTCACGAGCTGTCCAGTTAGGTATATGTTGCGTTCATGTTAGTATATATTCAGTATATATATATATAGGTTATAAGCATATTATAACAGATTACTTATATTCCCTATATAAACAAATCTTCTAATATATTGAACATATACTCCATATACACACAATATAAATTGAACAGTTTACAAAAAAATCTTCTAATATACTGAACATATACTCCATATATACACACCACATATACAGCCTGCCTGCAACATATACTGGTGTGAACATATAACATATGCTGCCGCGAACGTATACTGTGCATATAGGGTAGATATACTAAACATATACTCCAATGAAAAAACATGTGAGCACGGTACAAATCGGCCCCATCCCCAATTTCCGCTTCCTCCTCCTTCTCCACCAATCGACCAGCCCCGCCCGAACCCGTTCCAGAACCCATTCCCACCTCCATGGTCGCCGCCGCCGACGCATTGCCTCAACAACAATCCTAATGGCTCAGGTAAAAATCCTAGCTTTGATGTAATGACGCAGGCTGATTCGAGCACCAATTTGCTGGATTTTCCTAATGCCAAATCGCTTCCTCCTGTTAGCGGCGCAGAGAATTGATATCTGGTGAGAATTAAGGCATCCATCCGAGTCTGAATATTTGATGTGAGACGAAAGGTTTTCTGCATATTTTTGCTCTTGAAAAGTGAAAAAAAAAGGATGAAACTGGGTTACTGTGACGATTGAGGGTTGCTCGAGGGAAGACGCTGGCAAGGGAAACAATGAAAGAAAAAAAAAACGTTGGTGGAGGTTGAAGGAATAAAATTTTGGTACGCTGTTATGGAGAGAAGAAAAAATCATCCATGGAGAACGATGACTTTGAAGGAAGAAAACGTGTGCCAAATAATTACTTGGAGAACAAATAAGGAAAATTTTATGTGATTGAGAGAAAGTGGGGTGCGGTTTTTGGTAAGGATACATATTGTTCATAATTAATGATATAATGACATTTAATTTGCCCATAAATTCCTTAATTGAATCTGCTGGTATATGAGCAAATATGTTGGGGTGATTTTGTATCTTTGAAAATAAATATTAATTGGGTGTAAATATGTAATATAAAATATATATGATAGTATAGGGTGTAAATTCCTCAATTTTATTCTAGGGCTTGAAGTTTTATTACATCTATCTAATCTAACACTATTAAAATGAGTCGTGGCCCGTGGGTTGAATTCGTCTGCCCGTCTAAACTGACTTGGGCCTTTGTCTGACCAGCCTGTTCAATCGCGGGCCTATTTGGCCTGCCATGTTCAGCTCGTAATCCAAAGCAGGGTGGACCGTGGGCTTGCCCATTATTGTTATTTATATCAATTTTATTAAAATTTACTAAAATTCTACATTGTTTGAAACAATTTACAATATCTCCACTTTTTTCATAGATATTGGTCTAGTAAAATTGTTCATGTTACTTGTAAACTAAGGTCCCTGACTTTAACACTACATTTTCTGCAATTTTTTTCAACTACTATTACTAGCAAACGATATTTCTATTGAGTCACTCGATTGTTTTTCTTATGGAGCCATTCACCTACGTGGCTCTTACGTGGCACAAACATGATGCATGACATGTTATTTTAATTATACATACATAAAGAAATAAAAAAAAAAAAAGAAATGAATACACTTCAAACCCTGCAGTCCCCAAAATTCTAAAATTCGACCAGTAATATTAACGGGAAAAAATTTGCGGCAACACAACGTCGTTGCACTCGCCGCCCTAGCAATCCTCTCCGGCAGAGGTGCTTCTTCCCTTCTAACCATGGCCTAGGCTACTAGAAAGCCAAAAGAGACCGTGGAGCTGACTGGTAATTTGAAGCTGCCATCTGCAACTGATATACGACCACGTGATTGAGTTCACATGGAGGATTCGGCGCTGGCGGGGAGGTGCGCGACGTTGGGAGAGATCGTGTGCGGCTGGGACTGATCGTGGCAAGACAGGTCTCCGGGCTGACTGACGTCATGCTTTTGGTCGTCTCTGGCGTCGTTTTCATGTTATGGCACCAGAAGCAGAATGTAGCGCCCCGTTCGATTTATAGAATTTCTCGGATTATTCTATTTATCTAATATTATTTATAAGGTTGTATTTATTTTATTAGTCGGGTTGTCGACTTAAATAAAATGTTGGAGTACTCGACCGTTTTATTGAAAAACGTTCGTCGTTCGGCGATTTCGGCTAATTGCGTGAACCGAATATAATTCATTTGAATAATGGATTTTTCGGATATTTTGACATTATTAAAATCATTATTTTAGGTATTTTTTCGAGCGTTATGTATGTCCGGATTTTATGAGATTGAGCCCGATAAACCGGTAGTCGAAACTAGCCGATTCATAAACCCGTTGTTTACGGAATGTTTGGGGATTATTATTGTTATTACTATTATTATTGAATGCCTAATTTTATTAATTTCCAAATTGCTTATTATTTATGTGTGTATTAAATATATATATATATATATTATTCGATTTTATTTTAATTGCCGTGCAAGAACCGAGCTAATTTATCGGCAAAGTCGAGCCTGAGAGCCGAGCCGTATGTCGAACCAATAGGATCGAACCCGCACAAGTTCGTGAACAGGCCCGCGGGCCTAACCTGCCCCAGCTGAACCCGGCCCGGCCCCTCCCTCTCTGTATTCCGTGAGTGAAAATATGTGTGTGCGTGTGATTTCTTGAGTATCAAGAATAATAAACCTAGCCACATATGTATGTATATATTGTATCTAATTTCTTCTCTCGTTCAAACCAAACGCACAGCTTTCTCCTTCTCTAAATCGCTCGATCTCTCTCTCATTCTCTCGCAAAAATCTGAATCCCGCAGCCTTTTCTTTTCTGTTTCCCGAATCTGAGATCTCGTCCTCATCTTTCTCGCTCGATCACCAGTTCTTTCTCCCACGAAAATTTTCCCGTCCGCCAACCACCGTGAGCCATAGCAGTGAGTTGTCTTTCTCTGCTCGTCGTTCCGGCGACCACCTCCACTTGTCTTTCGCGAGCACCGCCGTCGTTGTTTCCTCCGCGAGGAGTCACCACGAACAGATTCTCTGCCACGCTGCGACCAACTCCTCACGCCGCGAACAGATCTTCCGCCACGCCGCAACGCCACAGCAGAAGCCCCGCCGCGCCGCTACACCACCAACAGCGAGCCAGCGCCACCGCTGCTCTCCCTCCGTGACCGCAGCACCGCCGGCGAGCCTCTCTCCGTCACACAGCTGCAGCGCTATCGCCGTGAGCCCTCGGCTGCTCCTCCGGTGACTTCACTTTGTTCGCTGCTCCTCCCTAGCCGCGAGCAGTCCTTTCCCGATGAGCACTCTCGCGACCAACAGGGCCCTGACGACTCGCCTTCAGCCACACCTCCTCCGCGAGACGAAGCATCGCCGTCGAGCCACGAGCTGCCTTCGACGTGCTGTTCGTTCTTCCTTCGTCCTATTTTTCGTACGATTTCCCGAGAACGGTACCTAGTCGAACCCCGTCTCATTAAATTGTGTATATTGTTTACATTATGTGTTTTATTTGGTGTGATGTGCTTACTTTGAGATTTAATGTACTCGATATGATATTATGTGAAAATGGAATTTAATGTGTTGTTTGTGTTTTTGGGGATCTCTTCGATTATAAAGAATTGAACGAGACCTCGAAACTCGTGTAAGGCTGTGGAATTTGGAACCATGTCGAGTCCTTGGCCTTATGGGAAGGCCTCGGGAAAGAATTATATGTTATGTATCATGTGTGAACTTATCGAACTCCTTTACTCGCTGATTTAGTGTTAGAATTATTAAAAATCTCATACTGCTTGGATTGCATTGATACTTTGAGGGTTATGTCTTCTGTTAAGCATCAAACATGTGTAAATATTTCATAACTTTGCAAGGCCTGTAGCTATTTTAAATAAATAAAGTGATTTCTGGTCAAAAACATGTTAAGTGCATAATAAATTGGTCCGTGTTTCAATTATGCTGAAATTTGAGTATGTTATGCCACTTTCATGTTTATATTCTATGTACAATTTTTAGAATTTTTGGGCTAGGGTTGATAGGGTAAATAATTTATTTTTTGATTCTGCAGGAATTTGTTTTAATTCTGATAAATTAATCAGTGGCTGAAAAATTCTGATATTTGTCTGAAGTGCTTGTTTTATGTGACGTTTCATTCTGTAGAAAGATTATAATTTTTGGAGTTCAAATTGGTTCAGTTTTAGTTAAAATTCGAAAAATGCTGAAACTTATATGAATTTTTAAAATTCGTACAGTTAATTTCCATGGATGAAATTTTTATGTGTTGTTAGTCTTATGCTGTAGTTTGTGGTGTTAAAATATCAAGTCATGAATCGTTTATTAGGTTTGGATGTGAACTTATATTCGTTTAGCTGTTATCTTGTATGAAATTTGTTAAATCATGTACTTTGAATTTGAGGCTGAAACTTGGTGGTTTTTTCAATTACTGAGAGGTGTAATTTTGGTTAAAATTTCACAGTTTAAGTCATAGGGAAACCTGACCAACTAGTTTTATGTGATTATTGATTATTATTTTCAAGATATGATTTTGAAGTTAAAATCTGTAATCGACTTGCTTTTCGTTTTGTTGAGTGTTTGACTTGGTCAATCCTTAGTGGGATTTATGCGAACTCCCATATTTGGTTTGGTCGAGTATAGTGCCGAGTCTAAGTGTTCCAACGTCCACAGGACTTCACGAACAACTTAGTCGAATCAAGTTCGACTAAGTCTGATTTGTGTTTTTCCGATTATGTCAAGATATTGATTGTAGGATCTTGACATAATGTAGATGTTTGAGGAGTCAAGCCTCGACCCACGTTTTTTTTGAAATTTGCTATCGTCAATCCGAATTACCAGGTGGGTTATTCTAAAATACCTGTGCAATGTGTGTTTAAATATATTTTCTGATTTGGCGTGATCTATGTATGAACGTGAATATGTAGCCTAGTGACGTGAGCTATTATGTGGCCTTCGGTATGGTTGTCCCCATCGATGTAATACGGTTGCCCATGCGAGGCAAGTCTCCTTAAGACCTAATGAAAGGTCGTGTCCTTGCGTGGCACGAACTCTCGCCGTTAGGGTAATGAATCCCCTTTTCGCGACTATTATGAAAGATGTGTACACAAGAGTATTTATGTTTATGTTATATGATGGAGATGAGACATATGTGATATTGTTTATGTTCATGCTGCGACCATACCTATTTAGCATATTATGAAATGTGCGTTGCATAGTGTGAGCATTATTTTCCTCTTATGCTCACTCCCACCTGCTTTTAACGGATGCAGGTTAAGCAGTGGCGTTTGACTAGACAAGGCGAGTGGTGGTCATGCCTATTTATTATGCTTATTTAATTGCTTCCGCTTTCTCATGAACTTATGTTGGTATTGAACATGTTGGATTGGATTTGGAACTTGTTCATTTTGAAAACAATTGGATTTGGTTTATGTTGAAAACCTTCCTTGATATATGTAACGCCCCGTTCAGTTAATAAATAGAACCGATTCACTTTGCTCGATTTTAAAGTGGAATCGGAAATGTTTTTCATAAAAATTTGGTTAGTCATCTAAA